TCATTACGCAACATTAAACTTTTTACAGCGAAAGTTGTATATGTTGTCTATATAACGTCGTTCTCAGCGTCTTACCCAAGCGACAAGAAATCTACGGATTTTTAAACAACTACCTCGAGTATCATGACTGTTAACCCGTCTCACTTTGCACCGAACTCCATCAATACAATACCGCTCTCGTCCTGCGCAGGACGAGAGCGGTGCCTGTGTAACATAGGAACATGTATGTTATGTTTCCGGTAGCGCGGGGCATACGAGACTGGTGTAAAGAATGCACTTACCGACCGCTGCCTCTACGTATACCCCTAGTGGGTTGTCCATAGTAGTGAGGACGGCCTTCTGTGCCATTTGTCGGCTGGATTGTCGCAGACAAGTAAGTGTTTCGCTTTCACTGGCCTTTGCCTTGAGCCAGGCTCTGGCAAAGGTGCGACAGGCTGTGGCAGCGTTAGATTATAGTAATCAGCTAGAGCCACCGCCACTGCAACAGCTTGACTCCTTAGGCGCAACTGTAAACAACTGTTTATTAAAACACATATCCGACTCCTCAATATATATGTGTGTGTGCATAGCAGTTGTACATATCCTTAGCATCCTTGCGTAATGTTTCACACAATAGAAACATACGCCACCTTCACCTTCCCGCTGCATGCCCTCAATAACATCGATTCCCACGCTACATAAGACCTGCCACATTTTTCTTCTAAAGCAAAACAAAGAAAGAACGGAACAATTAACGCTAATGTTGAAATTATTGAGCTTGTTATTGGTACGAAAGCATTGATTGATTGATATGTGGAGTTTAACGTCCCAAAACCACCATATGATTATGAGAGACGCCGTAGTGAAGGGCTCGGGAAATTTCGACCACCTGGGGTTCTTTAACGTGCACCCAAATCTGAGCACACGGGCCTACAACGTTTCCGCCTTCATCGACAATGCAGCCACCGCAGCCAGGATTGGATCCCGCGACCTGTGGGTCAGCAGCCGAGTACCTTAGCCACTAGACCACTGCGGCGGGGTTGGTGCGAAAGCAGCCGCTGCAAAAAGTTTCGCTAGCTTCCATGGCGTTTCGCATGACGTTTGAAGTGGAGTACAGAGCCGCGGCCACTGATTTCCCTGAAGTCCGCACGCACGTTCATTCACAAAGATAAAGATCGTTTCACGAACCAATAAAATTCATAAAAGATTAAGCAAAGAGCTACAGATGTTAGGAAAGAGCATTCACCTTTCCCATCTAGTGCTAGACTACATCGCGCTGACGTTTTATATGTAGAAAGGGCACTGAACCTTTCCATTGTAGTTACGACACTACTTCTGTACTACAGGGCATGCACTTTCTTCAATATAAAACTTAATCGGCACATTATTTAGCACGAAATTGGAAACAAAGATTGAGACGCCTTGTCACCTTTGAAGTACGTCGCACATGAGTTCATCTGAAATTGTAATGAAACAATGGTTGCAAATAACGACAGTGTTCAGGGCTTCCCTATACTCATCAACGCTCGGCCGAAAGACCTATCTCTATGGTCATCGGCAACAAAATGTAACAAAACGGGCACTCGCCTTCCACAAGCCACACCATGGCTCCCCACTCCCGCCGTTGTGATCCAGCACGGCTTTGCGTTTGCAATACAAATTGAGGCCAACCTCCACGCCTGGATCCCGAACGAGGAGCACTGTACAGAATGCCCCCTTTCACCAACGCTTCCGTTGATACCTAACTCGAAGAGCTATTTTTCACAAAATTCATTTTGCGCTTTTTTTCTTGCAATGACTGCAAGTATACGCACTGGCAAGGAGAGGGGCTCTAAGGCTGCCCAATGTTTGACTGATAGGGGGAGGGGGCTGCAATGAACATTCGGCCCCTAAGAGCAGAACGCCGCACGCCTATGACCGCAAGGAAAACATCGGCCCCCCATTTTCCCTGCGTAGGGCAGCATACCAGTCCTAGACTGGTAACATCTCTGCTCTTTCTTTCCCCCCTGTTCCTTCTTTCCTTCACTCGGTTGTGCGCACCGCATGTCAGCAAAAAGATGTTTGTAAGCTGAGATCAAACTCGACGCACCACTGTTTGCCCTCCATATAAAGCCACGTAGCAGACGAAGTGGTGGGCTAGCTGAAGGCTCAAAATAACTTGTGTTTAAAACCTGTGCGCCATTGCTGGTGCCACTTTATAGCGCCCTAAAGTAGTTGTGCAGTGCCATGCATGGTAGCTGCATGAAGCTTTCACACACAAACAACAATAAGCCACGCCCCGCCGCGGTGGTCTGGTGGCTAAGGTACTCGGCTGCTGACCCGCAGGTCGCGGGTTTGATTCCCGGCTGCGGCGGTTGCATTTCCGATGGAGGCGGAAATGTTGTAGGCCCGTGTACTCAGATTTGGGTGCACGTTAATGAACCCCAGGTGGTCAAAAGTTCCGGAGCCCTCCACTACGGCGTCTCTCATAATCAAATAGTGGTTTTGGGACGTTAAACCCCACAAATCAATCAATCAACAATAAGCCACAACCACAACACTTGCCGCGGTAGCGGCAGGTGTTGCGGCCGGGCGAACGTACGAGGTGGCAGCTGCGGGCGCTGCGGCGAGCGCGCGGCAGGCGAGGAAGAGAGTGACGTCAGCGCGCACTGCAAGGGAAGCGTGACGTCAACGCGTAGTTGCGGCATCACTTACTTGGTACCACTCCAACACCTGTGGCGAAGGGAGCGCGTTATGGGGCGTTCGTACGGACGCGCGGAAGGACAGCCTTACACAGGCTAGTCAAAGAGCTGCTTCTCATCAAAGTAGTCTGAACGCACCTCTGCAAAAATACTCGCTACGCTCTGGAGTGTTACACATGATGGACAAAACCGATTACACGCACGTGCGTTTATGATCGACATTTCGAAGTTGTTTGCGTAAATGGTAAATGTGCTGCATCATTAGGTCATCCAAAAAGTTTATGCTATAGCCATGAGGACAAGCAAACATTTTCGGCCCTGAAATCACGAGAACAGCCCTCCCTGAAAGACGCCTCAAGGAAGCGGTCACAACTATTGTTTTTGATTGGTACCATAGGTGTTTTTCCACTCGGTGTTCTGTAATGGCTGATGTTCATGCAACGGATGATGTTGTAACGGGTCTCTGTCTATTAGATAATATTGCGATCAAGTCAGAAGGAACGTATCACCTTGTAGGTTACCAGCACAGAAACCCGTTTTTAGACACGTGTACCTACTTGTACATCCGGGTTCATTAGAACGGCCTCATACCTTGCAAAATTTTATCCTGCCACATTTTTTCCGCGTTAATTGACCTCTATATGAAGTAAACCTGCCATACGATACCGAATTTATTTCAAATGTTATCTTTTCTGCTCGGGAGTAGGTGTGAAAGTCAATGGAGAACGCTCTTTAAAAAGTTCACGGCAGTGTGAGTCTTCCCTTACTCAAATCGATCAACCGATAGAACGTGTACGGAAGTCTTTTGGAGTGCTCGAAGTTTAGTTCGTGGTGTTAAATTTCACGGGTTCTACTCAACAAACCTGCAGCTTTTATGAAATTCGTAACTACGTCTATCACGGTGAGCGTTTGTAGTGAGGGCAGAATATTGAATGAGTGCACAAAGTAAGGCCGTAGTATAACCGGCCACATAAGGTGAAAAAGTATACCTAAATTGACGAACAATACGTCGTGCGCGCCGAAGCCCACGTAAACACGAGAAATCTCCACTGACTGAATTAGGTTATCTTAATCATTATGGAGTCATCCACTAACACATGTCACCTTACGATATAGTACTTTTGTATGCAAAAACAAAACAAAACAATTGTCAGATCACATGAACAGAGGCCATCTATAATATGCGAAGCACGAATGAGGAACGTTGATATGTCACTTTAAAATCAGCACAATGTTACGAGGCGGACGTAAATTATGCCGTAGATCACTTTCATGTCACGATTACCATGTTTCAACTTGTCATTTACTTTCGTCGTCTATTCACGACAAAAGATACCAAATTTGGTATTTGTCGAGCTAGCGAAACGGACGCGAGCGCACTATGAGCGTAGCATGTAGTCATGTCTTACATGACGCGCATGTCATAATTATCATGTTTGCACCAGTCATACACCATGTTCGTCACTCATTCACGTCACGTAACACCAAATTTGGTATATGTGAAGCTAGCGAAACGACCGCGAGCTCTCCATGAGCGTGGCGTGCAGTCATAACTTACATGACATGCATGTCATGATTTCCACGTTGGGGCCTGTCATTTACGTTCTCCATGCAGTCATGTAATGACATACCAATTTTGGTACAGATCCCATTATCGAAACGACCAGGAGAGCTAAATGTCGTAGGCGGCTAGACAGACAGACAGACAGACAGACAGACAGACAGACAGACAGACAGACAGACAGACAGACAGACAGACAGACAGACAGACAGACAGACAGATAGATAGATAGATAGATAGATAGATAGATAGATAGATAGATAGATAGATAGATAGATAGATAGATAGATAGATAGATAGATAGATAGATAGATAGATAGATAGATAGATAGATAGATAGATAGATAGATAGATAGATAGATAGATAGATAGATAGATGCGGTCAAAGTCGCCGAAGCTCGCTAAAATATGCTTCGCGTTTAAAATGTCAACTGGAAGTTAAACTCTGAGTTAAAACAGATTTTTATCGGTGCATACATGTCACCGTAGAACACATACAGTTTGACACCACAAACTAAACTTAGAGCAGTTCAAAAGACTTTCGTACACGTTCTATCGGTTAGTCGATTTGAGTTAGTGAAGACTCGCACTGCCGTGAACTTTTTGAAGAGCGTTCTTCATTGACAGTCACCATTTCTCCCGACACGCAAAGATAACGCTTGAAATAAATTTGGTATCGTATGGCAGGTTTACTACACGTCAGTAAATTAACTCGGAAACAATGTCGTGGAAAAAAATTTTTGCAAGGTATGAGGATAAATATGAATTGCAAATATCTTTCCAGTCCCTGGTAGATTCTGAGAGGGCAAGGAGCGTGTAGGCCAATATAAAGCTCGAACAGCGAAATCGTTTGGCTACACAAAAAATCCTTCGCGATCTAAGTCATGGATCCTTTACGGATGGCACTTGTCAACGCTGTGTCCACAGGTAAGTGTCTTATGTGTAAAAAATGTCAGACCTGCGCGGAACGCGCAGCACAGTCACAATGAGAGCAAGAGGACCGGCCTCACTACAGCCCCTTGTAAACTCCCTTGGGGCGCCCATCACACGTACAGTTGCAAGGTACCCTACGTCATCAATAATGACAACCGTGATAGAGTGGTAGAATTAGAGTTTTAAAGACTAGGGGAACATGCGCTATGTCACCATTCATCATTCAACTGAGGAATTTCGTTCAATATATATATATATATATATATATATATATATATATATATATATATATATATATATATATATATATATATGTGTGTGTGTGTGTGTGTGTGTGTGTGTGTGTGTGTGTGTGTGTGTGTGTGTGTGTGTGTGTGTGTGTGTGTGTGTGTGTGTGTGTGTGTGTGTGTGTGTGTGTGTGTGTGTGTGTGTACATATATCTTGCGAAGCAACGGTGAAGGCGACCTTTACTAGGCCCAGAAGACACGACGAAGCGACCCCACCCAAGGCACAGAACTCAGGCAAGCCAAGTCCCCACAGCAGATGAAGATGGCGATCACTTATGATGATGAACATGTGTAAAGATAGCAGATGTGCTTAATGAATGCCTACACTAACCCCCCCCCCACGTGAAAGCGGTCATCCTGACCGCAGTTCTTGGCCGCAGTTTGAAGCGAAGAGGAACGCCGTATGAAAGGCTTCATGTGGTATACGTGGACTATTTATGCTGGCCGCCAGTGGTGGTCCGTTGGAAGAAGAGTGGGTGCCACGCTATAATTGACAGGGGACGTTTGCTCTAAGACAGTGTAGGGGCCAATAAAACGTAATTGAAACTTCTCGCACAGGCCGGTAGTGGGAATGGGTGTAAGAAGGAGGACTTTGTCGCCAGGGCTGAAGGACACGGCACAATGAGAGGCATCACATTCAAGCTTGCGATCCTATTGCTTGGTTTCAGTGTTGGCGCGAGCCAGCTGGCGGCAATGAAGTAGACGAGACACGTATTCTTCACTTGAAGATGAACATATGTGGTTTAACAGGCGCAGAGAAGAACGAAACATCGAGGAAAGAAGAGGGGAAGCGACCGTGGACGAGGTAGAATGGTGAGTAACCGGTTGTGCGCAAAAGTGAGAAATGACAAAATGGTGTCCCAGTTTCTGTGGTCCGGTTCGATATATATCGCTATCATATCTGATAGTGTACGATGAAAGCGCTCAGTTAGGCCGTTCGTCTGAGGATGGTAACTGGAGCTTGTTTTGTGTGTAGTGCCGGATGTTTTGAGCACTTCTTCGACGAGTTGTGAAAGAAATACTCTTCCATGGTCGCTCAGAATTACAGAAGGAGCTCCGTGACGAAGGATTATTGCTCGAAGGATTATTGCCACTTCCAAAGCTGATGCAGAAGGCACGGGAGCCGTTTCGGCGTAGCGGATCAGGTGGTCGACAGCTGTAACTATCAATCGATTGCCCGTGACAGTCATAGGAAGCGGACCGTACAGTTCAACGCCAACTACCTCAAATGGTTGCAGGGGATACGGGAGTGGTTGTAATTGTCCACATCGAGTTGATGTCAGCAGCTTGCGAAGATGACAAAGGGCGCATGAGGCAACGTACTTCGCGACACAGGTGGAAGCCCGACCAGTAGTAGTGACATCTTATGCGGTCATACGTTTTCTGGAAGCCCATGTGTCCAGCCGACATGTCGTCATGATATGTCTTGAGGACTTGAGCCCGAAGAGAGCGAGGTAGAACGGGCACCCAGCGTTGACCATCAGGGTGGTAGATATGACGGTACATGACGTGGTTGTTGAGCTTGAACTGCGTCAGCTGTCGGCGAAGACGGACGTTAGGGGGCCGGCAAGTCCCGTCAAGATGGTCCATGATGCAGCGACAGTAAGGGTCAGCACGTTGGGGAGATAAGAACAAACCACACTTGCTCGGAAAAGTTGGCTCCACAGTAGCTAAAGACGAAACATGTAGGGAAGAGATGGCCGAAAGCTCCTCGAGTGCGGCAGTGGCGGATTCGTTAAGTGGCCCCGAAGAGAGCGGGCAACGCGAAAGTGCGTCGGCGTCTTGATGTTTGTTTCCGACTTGTATGTAATTGTGAAGTCGTATTCTTGTAAGCGAAGAATGCGGCGACCAAGGCGGCCGGACAAGTTCTTGATTTTCGAGAGCCAGCACAAGGCGTGATGGTCCGTAACCACAGTAAAGTGGCGCCCGTGAAGATAAGGTCGAAACTTTTGTATCGACCATACGACCGCTAGGCACTCCTGTTCGGTGACGGTATAATCCTTTCTGCAGGGGTCCGTGCACGGCTCGCGTATGCGAGGACCTTCTCACGTGAAGATTTGTCTCGCTGTAGGAGAATTCCACCAATGCCTTGACCACTAGTGTCTGTATGCAGGAGCGCGGTTTCGTCGAAATGGCAGAGGACTGGTTCGAATGTGAGTGCACACTTCAGTTGGGCAAACACCGCTTCACATTCAGGAGACCACACAAAGGTGACGCCTGATCCGAACAACTTGTGCAGTGGTGAAGCTATTGAGGCAAAGTCTCGAATGAATCGGCGAAAATAAGAAGCGAGGCCGAGGAAACTGCGCAAATCTTTGGCTTTTTCAGGACGCGGGAAGTGTTGGACAGCAGAAATCTTGTCTGGATCAGGACGAATACCGTCCTTGCTTACGATGTGGCTTAACACTTTCATGGTCTTGCTCGCAAAACGGCACTTTTTGGTGTTCAGCTGAAAGCCTGCGTTTGCAAGGCACGTGAGAACTTCGTCCAGTCGTTGCAAGTGCTGAGAGAAGGTTGACGAGAAAATAACGATATCGTCTAAATAGCACAAGCAGGTTTTCCATTTCAAGCCTCGTAAGACTGTGTCGATCATCTGCTCGAATGTTGTTGGAGCATTGCAAAGGCCGATCGGCACGACATTGAATTCGTACAGCCCATCTAGTGTTGAAAACGCTGTCTTTTCTTTGTCATCCTCGTGCATGGGTATTTGCCAGTAACCCGAAAGCAGGTCTAGGCTTGAGAAGTACTTGGCACCTTGCAGTGAATCCAAGGCATCGTCTATGCGCGGCGTGGGGTAAACATTCTTGTGGGTAATCTTATTAAGTGCTCTGTAGTCCACGAAAAATCGCACGGAGTCATCTTTTTTTTCTATAACAACAGGGGATGACCAAGGACTCGTCGAGGGACGTATAATGTTCCGTAGCAGCATATCGGCTACATTTTGTTCAGTGACCTCACACTCGGATGAAGAGACGCGATATGGTCCACGGCGTACGATGGAAGTGCCATCGGTCTGGATACGATGCCTAATAAAGGACGTCTGTCCCAGAGAGGAGGAATGGGCATCAAAGAATCTCCTATGCTTTTGTAGCAAGGCGAACAACTCATCTGTCTGTGAAGAGGTCAGCTCTGGACTAATAGCCGCAGAAAGAACAGAAACGCTTGATGAACGTCCAACAGAAGGAAAGTCAGAACACGCTGGCATAAGCGGGGCAACAAAGACAAATCGGGATTCGGTAACGCAAGCCATTGTGGTGCCTTTAGGAATGAGAATTTTCTCAGACGTCTGGTGTGTAGCATAGAGAAATCTGGAGCCATTGTGGAACCGCGCTAGACCTGAAGCAAAGGCTATACCTCTTGCGAGACAGCGTTCGGCAAACACGGCACCAAAGTCGATCACATTAGAAGTGATGGTAACTATTCGCTGATGATCAGGTGGTAGCTCGGTATCTTCCGCAGCGAGCAAGCGAACGGGCTTGTCATCCGCATAAAGGGCATAGTCGGTTTCCATCATATGAACAACATTTTCTCGGCAGCAGATGGAAGCGTTCGCCGTACACAGAAAATCCCAGTTTAATATAAGTTGGTGGGCACACGAATTTAGCACGGCAAATAGCACAAAATGGAGAAGACCAGCTATGAAAACACAAGCGGTGCACATAGCGGCAGGTCTAATGGCATCCCCTTGAGCAGCGAGCAGTGTAGGTTCATCATAAGGGGTGGTGACTTTTCACAGACGTGAGCACAAGGAACGATCAATCATAGACAAACAAGCACCAGTGTCTATTAAAGCGTCCACGTACACACCTTCTATTAAAACAGATATCGTATTGTATGGACGCACTGGAGGAATTTCTGTCTTTTCGTTCGATGCAGCTTTTCCTCCAAGAGCTGCAGAGGTTAGTTTTCCGGGCGTTGGTTGGTGAATTGCGAGACAGGTCGCAATGGAGACGTAGAGCGGCGGAGGGGTGATGGTGAGCGGTGTCTAGTAGAGCGGTACGAAGGGGTTGGCTCAGATGTCGCAGTTGGAGACGGTGAGCGACGTAGCGGCGGATCATAAGGACGACGTTGGAAAGCGGACCCGCTTGTCTCATCATCCCGTCCGTAGGGGTCGAATCCACGACGCTCGTCCTGCTGACGCTTCCGACAGAAGCGTGCAATGTGGCCCCGGAAGCCACAGTAATCACAGATCGGACGAGATGGCCGCCATGGTGGGTGGAAAGGCTGGCTAGGCGCACTTGTAGTTAACGAAGCCAGTGGGACAGGCGTCGAGTGTGCGGGCATCGGTTGTACGACGGGTGGTGAACCAGCGAGGACTTGCCCGTACGTCGGCTGGAGTCGAGGTAGCGGAGAGTATACATACGCTGGCCCGGTCATGGACGCCAACTCCTCTTTGATAGCGTCGCGCAAAGAAGTGTTGGAGGGGGGTGGTGGACTTGGTGTCGTTGAGAGGCCGAAAGATTGCAGCTCTTTCCGTATAATCGCCCGGATCATAGCACGCAATGAGACATCAGTCGTGGTGGTATTTTCAGCGCTGTCCGGCGGTAAGCCTTGGGACTCAAGTTCCTCTAGGCGTTGGCACGTGGCAACAACGTCAGTGACTGTGGTCGGGTTTTGTATGACCAAGTCATTGAACGCGTCCGTGCCGATCCCTTTCAATAGATGACGAATTCTCTCCGATTCACACATGGATGTGCTGAAACGGTT